CGTTCGGTTCGAGTCCCATTTAGCGACTCTGGAGCTCAAAACGCGTCCGGGGTTTTGACCGCCCACCGGTCTTCTGGCCCACTGTGATGCATGCTGGCGACCTTCTAGTAGCCCCGGGCGCGCTTCTTCCGCGGCTCTATCTTAAATGCATGGGAAAGGCTCGCAGGGGAAAGGGTAGGGGTGGGGATCCGCCACACTGTAAGGGCAGTCGTGCGAAGACCAGACCAGGTGGACCTTATTGAGCTCTCACCTTCAAATCTTACTATCAAACCGAGAGGATAAGAAGGCTTAAAATCAAGTGTGAAATGCCTTAAAATAAGTAGAAAGTAGGAAGTTGAAATTAACTTGGATAATACCTGTAACCTTGCAGCAAGGCGTAACAAGCAGACAGACTTGACATCTACCAGTGTGCCCGCGTGGTTTAGCGCCGCCCCCGGTCCCCGCAGCGAGTGGTAGTACGGCCCGTCTGCCGACGCTCCCTACACTGCAAGGCTGCGGCCGAGGCGTGGCAGTGGCGTGGCAGTGGCGTGGCAGTGGCGTGGCAGCGCGCCGCACGGCAGCAATATGAGTCGTTTGTTTTTCGCAGTGAAGGCCAAGGGCCCCGAAGGGCCGAAGGGCCGCTCGGCATTCAAATGCACCGCGCTCATTATGCGGCCGCTAAGTCTATGCGGCCGCGGCGCAGTGGGTTGGCCAGAAGACCGGTGGAGGCGGTCAAAATCCCGGAAGCGTTTTGAGCTCCAGAGTCGCTGAATGGGACTCGAACCGAACGTGTGACCCCACCAATGGATTCCTCGTCCGGAGAGCAATCCATTGGTGGTTCGGTTCGAGTCCCATTTAGCGACTCTGCGGCTCAAAACGCGTCCGGGATTTCGACCACCTCCACCGGTCTTCTGGCTCACTGTGCATTTAGCAGTGCGAGTGAAACAGAGCGACGGTGCCATCTGGGTCAAGGAGGGCACGGCCAGGGCACGGCCGGCAATGAGTTCCGTGGCGTAATCTTATTAACCTGCTCCCTGACCACAGCGAACAGTGCACCGCCTGACCGCTGCCGCCCAGTGCTGCCGCCGTGTGGCGCGCCCCGCGGGGCCGCCGACTGATTCCGAGAGCCGTTTTTGTCGCTGTGTCTCTCTCGCACTCATGGTGCGACGAAAAAGCCTGCATCGGGATCGGTCTGGTGGGATTCGAACCCGGGACGTATTTAGCCCGCATGCAGTGGGCCAGCAGACCGGCGGAGGCGGCCTAAACTCTAGACGCGTTTTGAGCTCCAGGGTCCGCTTACTGGGACTCGAACCGAACGTGTGACCCTACCAATGGATTGCTCTCCGAACGAGGAATCCATTGGTGGGGTCACACGTTTGGCTCGAGTCCTGTTTAGCGACTCTGGAGCTCAAAACGCGTCCGGGATTTGGACCGCCTCCACCGCATGGACGCTGGAGTGCTGGAGCCTCCAGAGCGCTCCAGAGCGGGCCGCACTCGCAGAGGAATTCCGCGCGGGGCGGGGCCTGGAATGTCCTGCACGAGTACGGCTAGGCAACGTCGTACGAGCTGGAGGGGGGGGGGGGACACCCGCCGGTAGGAGCATCGGCCGCGCATCGAACAACGCCCTCGCTCTGCTTTGGACGCTTTGCACTGCTTTGCAGAGCTATGGACGCTTTGCAAAGTTTTGGCCGCTTTAGCAGTGCGCTTTGGCTGGCCGCTTTGCAGAGCTTCGGCTGCTTTGCGATGCTTAGCAGAGCTTTGGACGCTTTGCAATGCTTAGCAGAGCTTTGGACGCTTTGCAATGCTTAGCAGAGCTTTGGACGCTTTGCCCTGCTTGGCTGGTCTTTGGACGCTTTGTAGAGCTGTGGACGCTTTGCACTGCTTAGCAGAGCTTTGGGCGCTTTGCAGAGCTTTGGCCGCTTGGCAGAGCTTTGACCTGCTTTGAACAATGTAAAACGAGCCGTAGCCCGTGAGAAGGAGCCACGTGAGGCTATAAGCGAAGGCCACAGAGCCCTGCACTAGACTTTGTTTCTTCTTTTTTTTTACAGTGCATAGCGCCGCGGCTGGACCTGCGCCTGGAGCAAGGCCTGGAGCTTCCAGTGCCGGTGCCAGAAGGACGAGGAGGTAAAAGGAGGGGGGGGGGCACGATTGTGTCGCGTGCTGCACCGGGTACACTGCGAAAATGGCAACTTAAACCCAAGATATCAATTGTTTTTGTTTCAAAAAATTGCAAGTACTCACGGAAGATACGAGGGCTGCAGTAAAAACAAAGTGATTCACCAAAACATTAAATTATTATTTGTTCAAGGAGAGGAGCGCCGTTTAATTTGAATTTGAACGTGAATACATAAGCATAATGTTTTAATTTTCGTTTTTGTTTTCTTTCTTTATGGTGTACCGGCGACCCGGCGTGGCGCCTCGAAGGGCAAGGTCGCGGTCCCCAGACGCGGGTTCGGTGACCGCGCTGCAGCGCCGCGTTGCAGGAGGAGGAGAAGGAGGAGGAGCACGAGGAGGAGGAGGAGCAGGAGGAGGACAAGAAAGAGAAGAGGAGAAGGAGAAGAAGAAACGGAGACACCGACAGCAAACTTCGGTAAATCGCCACACAGTGGGCCAGAAGACCGGTGGAGGCGGCCAAAATCCCAGACGCGTTTTGAGCTCCAGAGTCGCTAAATGGGACTCGAACCGAACGTGTGACCCCACCGATGGACTCCTCGTTCGGAGAGCAATCCATTGGTGGGGTCACACGTTCGGTTCGAGTCCCATTTGGCGACTCTGGAGCTCAAAACGCGTCCGGGATTTTATCCGCCCCCACCGGTCTTCTGGCCCACTGTGCGCCTATTTCCACAGTGCTAAAGGGTGCTCCACGGAGACAACGACGACGTCGCAACAACGAGCGGCTTGCCTTCCTTCGGCCTGCCGGTGCCTCGGCCGGTACCGCACTCGGGGCGTGGAGGACAAGGCCAGCCAAGGCCCCTCCCTCGGGATTAGCAAGTTCCCCTTCACACGGCGGAGGGCCGGACAAAGAGAGGATGTGCATGCCCAGCCTCAAGTTAGTTTGCCCCGACTAATGAAAACTTTGGAAGGAGGCCTGGGCTCACAAGGAGCAGGCCCCACCCAGGCCGCCCCAGGCGCTTTTCGCACCATTCTTTGCACGCGGCAGAGGCGCGGCAGAGGTGCTAAAGTCTGGGAATTCCCCCCCCCCCCCTTTCCTTCCTACCTCCCGACTCTCTGCGGTGACCCTCACTGGACGGGATCGAGGTGAGGTTAGGTTAGGCTGGCTGCGGGTTCGAATACCCATACCGACTTCGGTTTCGCATTTTCTGTCGCAGCTTTAGAGTTCCGTGTTTTGTGGCAAGGTGTGAAGGAAGCCCTATCTTATCAAAGTCTCATTTGAATAAGAATCCACGTCGCAAAGCGAAAAAAAAATAATGAATACAAGTACTCAAAACTCCAAACAAGCTGTGAGCTAATTTAAAACTTTTTAATAATTTGAAAGTTTAGTTCATTTTTTCAGAATAATACTGCATACTAAAAAAATAAACCAATCAAATTTTTTTTCAGTCTTACAAGGCAAAAAATGCCGATAATCTGCGCCCTACCTTTAATAATCTGCTCATCGTGAACTTTTTTTTTATTTTCTCCAATTAATCCACCCGTCGTTGCGCAGCCTAGGAATAGCACACGCCCCGCCAGTGTGTGTGTGCTCTGTGTGTAAGTGTGTGCTGTGTGTGTGTAGGTGTGTGTGCTGTGTGTGTGTACCGTGTGTGCTGTGTGTGTGTGTGTGGGGGGGGGGGGCTGGACGCGCAACGCCTCAAAAATAATACGATCCGACCCCCGCGACCGGCGGCGCGGCGGGTCTCGGCTTGGCCTGGCGGATGGCGGCGGCGTCCCGTTCGGAACAGCGCCTACACCGCAGCAGGGGGAACTGGGGTGGAAAAGTAGACGGGGTGAAAGTGGGTGGCAAAAAAAAAAAAAGAGGAGTGTAAGACCAGAATAAATGCAGAGGGGTTGGCGGCCGGAGCGAGCCCTGTCAGAAATTTCGGCTGTCACTCAGTGGCAAGGGGTCGAGGGGTGGTTTTCTTCGCAATAACGTCAACATGCCAATTGATGACGTTGAAAATGTTGGTTGTCACTTGATGCCAATTTCAAGAACAATTTTACTCACAAGAATGCCATCAGCACAAATGACGACATGGTTGTCATCAATTGATGGCATTGTCGATCATTTGAGAGTGATGTTTATGTCATCCACTGTCTCGTCATTAAGTGTGAACAAAATTTCGCAGTGTGGGTCAGGGAGGAGGTGAAGAGAGTCATCAGGAAGGAGTGACGCCGCCTCGCCACCACACGGATCAGGAGGAAAAGGGAGCCGAGCCGGGCTTCGAACCCGGGCCCTCAAGACGGGCGTGAGGCGAACTCTTACAAGGGCGGCCTGTTTCTCGGTCAGACTGACAGGCCTTGGGGCAGCCGAGCCGCTCGGTCTGCCTTGCTTCTTGCGGCGAGCCCCGTGAGTGCGACAGAGACAGAGCGACGAAAGGACTCTTCCGAATCGCTCGGCAGGCCGCTGGGGATGGATCGGGGCGCCCCTTGGAGGGCTGCCGCATGCCAGGGGGCGTTCGCTGCGGCCAAGACAGACTCATTCCGCGTTTTGAGCTCCAGAGTCGCTAAATGGGACTCGAACCGAACGTGTGACCCCACCAATGGATTGCTCTCCGCACGAGGAATCCATTGGTGGGGTCACACGTTCGGTTCGAGTCCTGCTTAGCGACTCTGGAGCTCGAAACGCGTCTAGCGTTTTGGCCGCCTCCACCGGTCTTCTGGCCTACTGAGGGCCGCAGCGCTCTACCGGGAGCGCCTGCCGAGGGCGGGGTAGGCAACCAGGCGGCTCGCCAGCGCGGCACGCTGCCTACACTGCAGGGGGCCCGCCAGAAACCCGGAATTGGCATGTCACACTCGCCATGCTTCCCTTCCCGCTCCTCGGCGTTGCCTCGGCGACGGCTTTGACATGCTGAGTTGCTCACCGTAGTCGACCGGCGGTTCCTCGGGCGGCTTCTCTGTCGAGTCGTCGCGGCAGCCTGCAACACGAAGAGACATGTCAGTCAGCGTCACCAAGTCTCGGGCACACAGTGGGCCAGAAGACCGGCGCCGGCGGCCAAATCTCTGGACGCCTTTTGAGCTCCAGAGTCGCTGAACAGGACTCGAACCGACCACGTGACCCCACCAATGGATTCCTCGTTCGGAGAGCAATCCATTGGTGGGGTCACACGTTCGGTTCGAGTCCAATTTAGCGACTCTGGAGCTCAAAACGCGTGTAGAGTCCTGGCCGGCTCCATCAGTCTTCTGGCCCACTGTCCACTGCTGATCACGCATAAAAACAAGGTGTGGAGATGCCGGGGATCGAACCCGGGGCCTTTCACATGCAAAGCGAACGCTCTACCACTGAGCTACATCCCCGCTCGGGGTGGTGTGACGCGGGCCGCACTTATCGGACGGTCGTGCCGCACGACGGCGGGCGGCACACTGCGAAACGCGGCGAAACGGCAGCAAGGCTCTGTCTCTCTCACTCTCGCGGCCGGTGCCGTGCTGATGCCGTGCAGGTGCGAGAGAGAGAGAGAGAGAGAGAGAGAGAGAGAGAGAGAGAGACGGACTCTGGGAATGAGTGTGCAGATTACGGGGAGCCTTCGCCAGCCTTCGCCCGCATTCCTCTATTTTTACGGCGGCTCCGCTTATCGAGCGACTCGAGGATCTGACGCGGGCGGCGCGCCATCCGATAGCGGGGAGGATCCTTCACTTGACCCTTGTTTTCCAGTGTCCCTTCCCTGTTTCCTTCTTTCTTTGAAGGGGGTGCACAGTGGGCCAGAAGACCGGTAGAGGCGGTCAAAATCCCATAGACGCGTTTTGAGCTCCAGAGTCGCTACATGGGACTCGAACCGAACGTGTGACCCCAACAATGGATTGCTCTCCGAACGAGGAATCCATTGGTGGGGTCACGCGTTCGGTTCGAGTCCCATTTAGCGACTCTGGAGCTCAAAACGCGTCTGGGATTTTCACCGCCTCCACCGGTCTTCTGGCCCACTGCGAGGGGGTCGCTGATAAGCCTATCGGGCACGCGTCACTGGCTAATCAAAGGGAACTCCTTGCTAGCCCGATTTATGGCTTCATGCTCACTCTCAGTGTCAGTCACACATTCGCCAATGGCCAATCCTTAAATTCTTCCGGAACAAGCCTTCGAACGCACTTCGGGGATTTCCCACTTTATTCTCCACAGTGCCAGGATCCCGGACGAAAGAATCTATGTAGGAAACGAGCAGAAATGAAATATATAACAACGCCCAGGCCTGTTTTTCCTCGGAGCGAGACTGTGTGAAGCTCTTTTTCCAGCACCGCATCCCCGGACGGCGGCCACTAACGGCTCTGGGAATGGAGGACGGGGAGCGAGGCGGGGAAAAATATCGACAATGTCAAAACGGCCCTCTCGCTGGAAAGTGCATCCTGACCATCCTTTTGTCTCTCTCAATTTTTTTTCTCCCATTTTTTCGTCGTCCCGGAGAAAGCCGAGGCGGCTAATAGACTTGTTTCCGAGCGATAACGCGCAGGCTGTGTTTACAGTGGGGCCTAATAGGCACACCGTAGCAGTGCGCGGTGAGTCTTGAGCCTCGGGGGATCAGGGCACAGTGGGCCAGAAGACCGGTGGAGGCGGCTGAAACTCTAGACGCGTTTTGAGCTCCAGAGTCGCTAAACGGGACTCGAACCGAACGTGTGACCCCACCAATGGATTGCTCTCCGAACGAGGAATCCATTGGTGGGGTTACACATTCGGTTCGAGTACTGTTTAACGACTCTGGAGCTCAAAGCGCGTCTAGAGTTTTGGTCACCTCCACCGGTCTTCTGGCCCACTGCGCAGTGCTGCCCGGAAAAGACGGCTGTTTTTTTCCGAGTCCTTTTCAAGCGGGTGATCTGTGACAGTGCCGGGCTTGCACGCGAGTGAGCAGTTCTGTCCGCGGCACGGGCGTGGCACGGGCGCGGCACGCGCTCGCGTGATCGGTACGGCTCCAATGGCCTTAACCTTGCGGCGGCGAGGCGGCCCCACCGAGTGGCCGAGCCACGCCACTGCAAGTCGATACATCGACCGCTCCAGTACCAGTGCACGCGGCACCTGATGAGCCAAAATTTTTCGACAATGACCAAAGCAGGTTTTAAGATTTCACGAGTGCAGAGAGAATGGAGCAAGTCAGGAGTGTCGTCAGTTTTCTTCAGGCCTCGAACCGAACGTGTGACCCCACCAATGGATTCCCCTCGTTCGGAGAGCAGTCCATTGGTGGGGTCACACGTTCGGTTCGAGTCCCATTTAGCGACTCTGGAGCTCAAAACGCGTCTTGGCCCGCTGTGCGCCTCTTTGCGCGCAGTGTGCCCCGCTGGCGCTGCTGGCGCTCCGCTGGCGGGGCCTGGCCATGCGACCTCCCGGCCAAGCCGCGGGGGACCCGACCCACCCCATTGGCCTCCGTGTGCATCAAACTTTGAGAACCTCTGCGAGCTCCGTCGGGCACGGCACGTGGCAAGGAGGAGGAGGAGGAGGAGGAGGAGGAGGAGGAAGGGGGGTGGGGCAACCCTCTGGTCCCCAGCCATCGCCGGAAAAACAGCGCGATATACAGTGTCTGAATAAAAAAGTGGCCAACTTCTTGATGGAGCCCCGGCGTGACAGTCACTCAAATCGAAAATTGGTCCCCGCCGGAGACTTGCTGGAGCGCTTCCAGAGTGCCAGACGCTTCGAGCGCTTCCAGCTCCAGCGGTACGGCGGCATGACCGCCGCACAGTGGGCCAGAAGACCGGTGGAGACGGTCAATACCCCGGACGCGTTCTGAGCCCCAGAGTTGCTAAATGGTATTCGAATCGACCGTGTGACTCCACCAATGGATTCCTCGTTCGGAGAGCAATCCATTGGTGGGGTCACACTGTCAGTTCGAGTCCCATTTAGCGACTCTGGAGCTCAAAACGCGTCTTGAATTTTGGCCGCTCCACCGGTCTTCTGGCCCACTGGGCACTGGGGCCCAGTCGATGTGAAGGCGATCGAAAGCGTTATTCCCACGCGGCGGCGGCTGTCTCTCTCGCGCGCCCCCTGAGTGCGAGAGAGAGAGAGAGAGAGAGAGAGAGAGAGAGAGAGAGAGAGAGAGAGAGAGAGAGAGAGGAGAGAGAGGGAGAGAGAGAGAGAGAGAGAGAGAGAGAGAGAGGGAGAGAGAGAGAGAGAGAGAGAGAGAGAGAGAGAGAGAGAGAGAGAGAGAGAGAGAGAGAGAGAGAGACGGGCGCCGCGCCCCGCCTCGCCCACGCAGGTTGCATGGTTGCCGTGGCAGCCATCGGCAGGGCATGCAACACGGCCGCCGCGCCAGATCGCTCTGTCTCTCTCGCACCCTCACGCAGATTCCCGTGAGTGCGAGAGAGACAGAGCGACGAGACGACTGCAGACTTATTCCGCCCCAAAGAGCGCTCCGTCTTTCACAACGATGCACCGCGCGTCTCGCTTCTCATTGCGTGGCTCGGGAACAATGCGTGGCCGCGCCGTGTTCTACACGCCTTTCAAATGGACGGGCCGCGCCGTAAAAACTCGTAAACAAATTTTCTGCGTAGAGCAAGCAGTGGACCCCACCAATGGATTGCTCTCCGAACGAGGAATCCATTGGTGGGGTCACACGTTCGGTTCGAGTCCCATTCAGCGACTCTGGAGCTCAAAACGCGTCTGGAGTTTCGGCCGCCTCCACCGGTCTTCTGGCCCACTGTGCGTGAGACTGGTTGACTCAGGTCGACCATCGCCCAGTTGCCGCATTGCCGAGGGTTGTCATCTTTCTTATCCTTGATGGCGGGCTGCCCGTCCTTGTCTATCCTTCGGGGCGATAGGCGAGTGTAGTGGTCGTCTCACTCTTGCACAACATTCCAGCAACTTTGTATCCCCTGGGCCCGGCCTGGCAAAGCGTGGCACACTGCTGGCACACGGCGGGCAATGGCTGTAAAATTATACCGACTTGCGCACGCTGTGGAGTGGATTTCGCGTCTCTCTCTCTCTCTCTCTCTCTCTCTCTCTCTCTCTCTCTCTCTCTCTCTCTCTGGCTCACGCGTCCCACCTCACTGCGAGACGAGCAGGTGGCATGATCAGCGCTGTCTATTACACCAAAAAAATCATAGTGAGAATAATTTAAATTTACTATTTGCAGGCTAGGCATGTTACCCGAATTACCGTAAATTTACAAAAAGAACTACTGTTCTCGGTAATGAAAAGGCTTTGGAACAGAGCAGCACCTGCTTCTTGGAAGCGACGCGGCCCTGGAAGCGTTTGTTGGAGGCCGGCTGCTGGAGTCGGCAGCACTGGCCGCTGGAAGCACACTGGAAGGCGGACCGCCTTTTATAATGATTTGCACTGCGCAGGCGAAGCGCCAGCGCCGCGGTTAAACCCCCCGGCCGTCATAAACGGTGTAATGTGTTGAAAGCGAGGGAACGCCACCGGCCCCGCCCCGCCCCGCCCCGCCCCACCCCGCCCCGCCCCGCCCCTCGGGACTCATCCCTTTGCACTCCATCCAGGCTCCGTTTACGGTCCCTGCGGCTCGCCAGACCGCTGCAAACGCTGCAACCACTGCAACGGCCGCTACAGTGGCGTGGCGATCGATGGTCAGTCAGGTCCGCGTCATAAACCTCGCGGCGGTGTCGTGACAGTGTCGTGTCAGCGCGACCAGCCCAACCCGGACCGTGTGTTTTCAGGACGGACCGTCCGGCGCACAGTGGGCCAGAAGACCGGCGCCGGCGGCCGAAACTCCAGACGCGTTTTGAGCTCCAGAGTCGCTAAATGGGACTTGAACCGAACGCGTGATCCCACAAATGGATTGCTCTCCGAACGAGTAATCCATTGGTGGGGTCACACGTTCGGTTCGAGTCCCATTTAGCGACTATGGAGCTCAAAACGCGTCTGGGCTTTTGAACGCCTCCACCGGTCTTCTGGCCTGGCCGACCGTGCGCGGTCCGCAAGACAACAACCCTCGTTTGGACGTTTTACAACAAAGAAATATGCAGAACAGAACGTCTTTCCTGTCGA